TTTTTTTTAAATGTGTTTCTGATCGGCCTTGAGCTGGTTGAGATTTCTCAAACGAAGCCACAGACCTTCCCCTCGGCTCACACCCCTACCGTCTGTTAGATTGGCTTTCTCTAAGTGCACATCAGACTGAAAACACATGAACCCCAGGCCAGTTCAAGGCTGGTGACGTTTCCCCCTCTCAGGGGTTAGAGCATTCAAATGTCCTGATTAGTGATATTTTTAAAAGCCCTAATTATAGACTTAGGGCAGAGGCCTTACTGGGGCTTTAGGGAGTTTGTGACTTAATCTAGGAGCTGGAACCGGCTGCGTGTATGTGTGTGTTTTTATTTTTGCATCAATAAAAATACAGTTGGCAGTCATCAGCGTCCATGGCCCACATAAATCTTGAACTTTTGACTTAATTACTATGGGAGAGTTCACAGGGCAGGCAGGAGTGGTTGAGAGAGCACTGCTCAGGGAGCCGGAGACTTGGGGCTCGCCTCAGTGGGGCCTCTGGCTGTGTGACCTTGATCCTATCACTTAACCTTTCTGGGTGACACTGATCACATCAGCCATCGGGCCAGATGGTTGCTGAGGCCTCTTTTGGTACAGCTCTGTAACATGATTCCATGTTTTTCCTTTAAAACCTTGGGCTGTGCTCTCTTTTTGGTTCTGGGGAGAGAGCAGACCATGAACCTGAGGTGTATTGGGGATATGTAAAGGTTTTTTGCGGGGATGGGCTCCGGAGCCCATGGTTTCTCATTAAGTTTAAATTGCAGGGTCAATAAAAAACCCCTCTAATCCTCCCATTTATTGACAGAATCAGTGTCTGCCTAGCACGCTTGGAAGAATGGTAGATCTGGCAGGGGCCCTATCAGAGCAACTCCTCATTCTAGAGCTCCACCTTGGAACAGTCCTTGTCTGCTTGCTCACCCGTCCCTCAGCTCTGGAGAGCCCACTCTGCAGGGGGAGGATGCATTCAGGCCTCCGCCCTCGTTACTCGGCACACACCACGAGACACACCTGGTGCCGAAGTGGACGGTGGCCCAGGCAAAGAGGCACTTCACCACGGGCTGGGGACAGACGGCAGGGCTGTGTTGAGGGACATACAGCAGGGGGCTTCGTTTCTGTGGGGTTATGAGTCCCTCTTCAACCACCCAATCCTAAGACACTTCTGCTGTGGGAAAGTGAAATGCCACTCGACATGATCACGCACAGACAGTACGTGCCTCAGTGTGGCCAACGGTAACGAGTGGCCTGCTATCCCTTGAAGATGGGATTTTATTTGTTCCTTGTGGCTGGGTCTTTATTGTTCTTTTAATTTGCTCATCATTAGGATTCAGTGACTAAGAGCATTGCTCTTTTCCACATGTGACGTCAGAAGGTACGCGGGGTCGGTGCTGAAGGGGCCATGCCCATGGGCGAGGCCAAGTGGTTTCCTTACAGGTGACTGGCGGAGTTCAGGTCGAGTACCTTTGGTGGTCTTGCTGCAGCTCCCCCCCAGTTCATGACTTGAAACCCATCTTTGTCTATCCCCAGGGTTCTGCCCGGTGAGGTGTGGACGCTAGATACTCACGTACTTCAACTCAGCCAAGGTGCCCTTGGCTTGTGGGTTCATTTTAAGCAGGTTGTTGACAGTCGGTCGCCCGCTGTGTACAAGGATGTCTCTGCCTTTGACTCTTTTAACTGGTTGTGCCAGTTCCTTCTCCAGATGAAGCTGTTGAAGCTGTTTGAGTCCAGCCTTTTGGGTTTTGGCCTGTCCCCGGTGCCCGGCTGCATCTCTGCAGCTGCCTCATGGTTCTTTGGCATTGGCTTAGATTGCAGAAACGGCAGGAAATACTGAGGAGAGAAGAGGCTGTGGGGACCAAGGCTAAAGGGAGTGCTGTATGGCTGTCCTTACAGTGTTGCTATTTCCTAGATCACCCGTGTTCTTTAAGCTAGTTTATCTCAGGAAGAGCCACTGTAATTATTATTATTTTTTTGGTGCTGGGGCTGAATCCGTGGTCCCCGTGGATTAGGGTAGGGCGGATGCTCTACCCCTGACCTACAGCCCAGCCCCGTAAAGCAGTTCCTTCCTCCCAGCATCAGGCTCATTTTTAAGAAATTCAGGAACTCAGCCTCCCTCCAGGGCCTCTTGTGCCTGTGTGATGTCAGCAGGCCCCAGAGCAAGGCTGGTCAGGTGAACATCAGGGACTTGAGGCACCACTTAGGGGTACCCAGGCCACCTTGCACAACATGGCTCGTGGGCCTTTCTGTGGAGTCACGACTTGCAGTTCTTGAGGGAGCTTTGTGAAATCTCAGCGTGGAGCCGTAGCCATGAAGGTGATCTGTTCCTGCTTACAGTGATTGGATTTCATGGTGCCCCACCCACCATGGGCCTCAGACGCAGAGAAGCGGGTGCCCACACCCTGACGCATGGCTGGGCGTCTGTTTTGCACGAGCAGATTTTATAGGTATAGTTTTGATGATTGAAATTTCACCCCAGGGAGGTGGCTACCTGCCAGAAATTCCAGCAAAATTCTTTCCCCCTAACCTGCAGTCATTCCTTAGGCACCAAGACAAAGGCCCCGGCGGAGGGCAGGAGGTGGAGGGGCAGGTCAGTCTGCCTGGCCGCGTGGTCAGGGGCTATCCTGTGCTGGGTACAGCCTCTCTGGTGGCTTAGCTCAGCAAGATTGGAAAAGATCAACATTCCACCATCCTTAAGCCAAATCCCACTTTTTGACCTTTTAGGGAACATAAAAATCATGCCTAATGGTATGTAAGCACATATCTGCTGATTTCTTTTATGTAGAGAAGAAAAAAAGACATTCCAAGGGATAAGCTCAGCAGTAATTGATGCTCTCTGAAAGAGTTACTACATTAATATTTAGCTAATTCGAGTGAATAGGCCATTGTGTTTACTTAAACAAATGACGTGAGTACAGACACCTGACAGCATGAGGTGTGCTTTTCATTTAGGTCAGATTTGTAAAAGTCTTTGTGCAGCAACAAAGCTCTTTATTTGTTTTGTGCTCTCAAAGGTTTCTTTTCAGTGGCTGTGGATGGATTTTTCTAAGTAGAAGCTTTGAAAATGAAAGATTATTGAAATTGTTTCAGTGTAGGCCTGGCCCCGGGGTCTTGTAATAAATGGGGATCCGGGAGCCCCGTGAACTCTCACAAGAATAGGTGTGCTCACGGGCACTGGACACCCAGCCCACTGGCTGCCAGCGATGCCTGCTCGTTCCAAATGCAGCTGGGGTCCAGGGAAAGAAGGCGCCCATCTCTTCCCTCCCTCATCTGACCTCCCCGCTGCCTCTGTTCTGCAAGATGACCCACCGGACGGTTCTGCCCTCTCTGTACTATCTCACCACCTAGATCCCACTGACCTCGGCACTTCAGTGTGCCAGAGGATAACAAGGCACAGCGTGGTCTTGGTGGGGAGTCTGGGCCCCACCTTCCAGAGTCCTCCCAAGAGCAAGCGAGGCAAAGATATCGTAGATACGTGGATGCAGCCATTCCTGTTCCGAGTTGTGACATGGGAGTCTGGGTGCTCAGTTATGTGATTGCTACTGTGGAGGCAAGCAGTGCCACTGTAGAGCAGTGCAGACTGCCAGGTACAGGCAGGGACCTGGGCCCTCCCTGGGGCCATTTTGTCTCTGGCTTATGGAATGTGGGTGCTGTTGCTCAGGTGAACCCTCATCAGAAAACAGCACAGTTATGAATTGTCCTTCGAGAACATTCTAGGTCCTGTTGATGGACCCCTTAAGGGCATGGATTTAGGTTCCCAGTTTACTAAGACAGAAACGTGTGTGAAAAGTTCAATTGCTGTCCAACGTTTCAGTGGAGGTTCTGGAAGGTAATAAAGGAAGGAGTGTGCCTTTAGGCCAGGCCAGCTGCCCTGGACGTCAGTCTTAAATATCACAGTGGTTGGAGACATGGATTCTAACCCCTGGGGAATCAGTAAAGAACACGGCTAAAAGCCGTGGGCTCCGGCATCAGACTGCCTGGGTTCAAATTCTGGCCCACACCTTTTCTGATGACTTAACAGCTCAGTGCCTCGGTTTGCCCACCTGGGCACAGGGAATATTGTAGAGCCGTTCCCTTGGATTGCTGAGGGTTAAGGCATCACGCATGTAAACTCTTAGAGACACGCTGCTTGACAAACGAGAAGCCTTCTGTCAACCATGATCCCTTGCCATTATTAGCCAGCTTAGAAAATTTATAGCTTATCCTGGATTGATGCCGTGGCTTTTTATAAAGTGTATGGCAATTGGAAAACTTACCTCCTTTCTTGGGTTTAAAAAAAATTACTCGTATTTATGGCTGTGAGGGCCACTCAGAGGGCACGGCTTTCCATAACATTTATTGGTGGCCTCCTGTCAAGTTATCTGCTGAGGTGTGCTGGTAGGATTCTGGTGTTTAGAACCACCATTGGAGAGGAAAAAAACCTTTTCATTAAAATATGTTTTGTGATAAGGTATTTTGTCAGATAAAGCTGGGCCGTTAATGATGCCTGTTTGGATAGTTCCTCACAATAGGATGAGAATTTATAATGTCAATCACCCTTTAAAGTTTAGCTCTGTTGGATAAGTTTCTGGGGCTTTCGAGGACAGCTGGCTTTTACCATTGTGTGTATGTAGCCATTTAAAAGGTGTGAAGATCCAAAATGATATATTTTTGGAGGACTGTGCTGTTGTTACTGCGTGCGTTGTTACTGTGACTATAAAGTAGCATTTAAAAATATGACTTGATGTGAAATTATTTTCTGGCACCAAGCATGAGAGAGAGAAGGTGCCTCGAATGCTTTTTTCCCCCCCTTGTTAATAGACATAAACCAATAGGCAGTCCCTCCTGGGACCTTCTGCTAGGCCAGCTGGATTCGAGTACTGAAAATATTTTCCTAATGTAAATATTATTCAAAGATTTAAAAAAAAAAATCAGATCCTTGTCGTCTAAGACAAATTGCTCTTACCTGTTTGGAGTTGGCTGGTGGAGATGAAGCTGTCCTTCTATGTGCATTGTAACGCTGTCTTTCCAATCAGGGGCGCCCTACTGGACCAACACGGAGAAGATGGAGAAGAGACTGCACGCAGTCCCCGCAGCCAACACGGTCAAGTTCCGCTGTCCAGCTGGGGGGAGCCCAACACCCACCATGAGGTGGTTGAAGAACGGGAAGGAGTTTAAGCAGGAACATCGCATTGGAGGCTACAAGGTAGGATTGAGCTTTCTTAAGTGTGTGTTTTTTAAACCCCTCCAAAGTTAGCAAGAACTGGAAGGAACATTAAAAAAAAAAAAAAAACCCAAAAAACCAAAGGGCGATTATCATAATGGATCGTGTCAGTGTTTGATATCTAAAAAAAAACTGCCCGGGACTTGCCTGTGATTTTAAAGTACAATCCCCATTTGCATTGTTCTTTTATATGAGGAGAATTTAATAACTAAAGGGTCGAAAGTTGAGAGTCTGTTTTCTATATGCTTTATGGTCTGTAAAACTTAAACTGGCGCAGAATTTGAGAAGTCTCAAGTAGAGTTGCCCTGTGAGAGCAGGATTGCATTAATAGGAACGGGCTAGAGGCCGGGGCACGCAAAATGGTTCACTAATGAACGGCTCTGGAAGATGACAGGCGGGCCTCTGTCCTCTGTCCTCTGGAGGATCCTAGGATGCCCTGACCTTTGACATCATTGCTCATGGGAGGGAGCGGGGGTAAGGCTGACCTTGCCCTGCAGATGCCTGCAAAGGCTCCTCCGGGTCCTCGTTCATCTGTCCAGCCAAGGTGGGTTGAGCACCTCTGGGCGACACTGTTCTAGGCTCTGGGGAAGCTACAGGGGCCAGGATGTGGCTGCAGCTCAGAGAGCCCCTGGTCCAGCAGGGAGGCAGACGGGAGAGCTGGCGGTGGGGCCATGCTGATGAGGACTACCACCTGGAGCATGCTGTGTCCAGTGGACAGGCAAGGAGCCGTGGTGGCCGCTCTTGGGAGGATAAGAATGAAGGAGATCCAGCAGGAGTTTTGGGCTGTGTTGGAAGGAAGGGTGTCTCATAAGAGACATTTGGAATCTCTATTTGGTATGGAAACAGAACTTCGAGACGCAGGACTTGAGGAACCCTTATTATGAAATTCTTTGTGCCTTTGGAATGTGAGTGGGCACGTTAGTCACCTGTTGCTGTGTAACAAATTACCCCGGAACACAGGGACTTTAAATAGTGCTATCTCAGTTGCCAGGGTCAGGAATCTAGGTGCAGTCTGGTGGGTTCTTCTGTCTCTTGGTGCCTCCCAGCACGCAACGCCGGGTCTCACGTAGGGTGGGGTCTCACCTGAAGGCTCACCTGGGGAAGGGTCTGCCGTGTGGCTGTTGTCAGATGCGCTTCCTGGCAAGAAGTCGGCAGTTGGCTGCCCAGAGCTCCTTGCCACCTGGGCCTCTTTGTAGGGCAGCTGCTGTGCTGTCCTCAGGGTGAGCAGACGAGGAGCCAGAGCGGAGGAACACAGAAGTCGTGGCTTTTGGTCACCTCATTGTGGAAGTGGCATCCCAGCACTCCGCTGCCTGGAGTGGTGGGGACCGCTGGGCTCCCTGTGAGAAATGTGCGCCTGGGTGTCATGGGGGATGCAGCCGTCTGGAGCCATCCCAAGTCAGGTGGGGAGGAGTTCTTGGTGGCAGTGGAGGGACGTGTAGGACAGTCCCTCCTGTTCAACATCACTTGACGGCATGCGAGCCGCTGTTCCATCACTGCTGTGGTTACGTGAGCCCCCACCTAAAAGTGCCTGGGAGCCCTTTTCTGAAACGCCATCCAAAAGTTTTCATCTTTAAAGGATTATTTGATTGTGCAAAAGTTTTTGCCTTTTTGTTTTAACATTTAAAAATTGACACCTAGAAGCCAAAACCCAGAGGAAAATGGGAAACCCCGAGTCCATCTCTGTGAGCAGGTAGGGAATAGTTTAGGGTGAAACGGGTGGAAGGCAGGTAGATGGTGGGTGGTGTTAGCCTTTGAAGACCCTGGATGTTGAAACACTGCTATCGTCTGCCACGACTCCTGCTTGGTGAAGGCGGAGGCGGTGGCGAGATTCGTCCTTACATTCTGAATTCAGTCCTTAGATCAACTACCATGAGTCTGGGACATTGGCCCTTTAAAAAAATTCTTTAATAACAAGTAGACCAAGATTTCATTAGGTGGTACTGCTTAGAAAGGAAGAGTTAAACCATTAAATTGTGGCCCCTGGGATTGTCTTAACCACCAAGCGCTCGCTGAGACTCACATAATTGGTGCAGTTCCAGCAATTTATTTAAATATAATTTAAACATCAGAATGGTGGTCAGAATCCCAGGGTTTAACTAATTCTGTCAATTAAGACAGCCTTGTAAGTAAGCACAAAGAGAGCCCAGGAGCCTCCAGAGATTCCTGGTCTCAAAATAAACGGGACCCACCTCATCATCATGGGTGAGGAGCTTTTTGCAGACCTGAATTAGTGATTACGAATGCGCCGGGAGACTAGGGCTTAATGAGGAAATGCTGCTTGATTTTTAACAGGTGCAGCTCCGTTTTGATTATTTATGACAACCTTCTTCTCAGTGAAGAGCGCCTGTGTTCTCAAAGCAAAACCAGGAACCCTCTGGAGTGTCTCTGGCCGGTGGGGACAGGTGTGGCCACGGCTTCTTTGTTGGTTCACGTTTGATCCTTTTCTGGAGGGAAAGAGAAATGGAATCTGAGTAGGTGGGACAAAAATCTAGAGTACATTTTGCTTTTGAGAAAACAAAGCAAGAGAGAGGAGTACTGCATCTTTGGAATGTGGTGTCCTGGCTGGAGGCAGCGAGGGCCTGCTTCTTGTCCTCTGGACTTTTCTCTGGTCGTGGCGGAGCGATGGGGTGGCCGGGAGGCGAGCCTGACTGAGGCAGACGATTGGTTTGCACAGCAGTGGTGGCACCGGACTTTCATTTTGGGGATTCCGGAAACTCAGAATTCCAGGGGCCCTTCTAGGACCTGGGAAGGGAGGGGAGAATGCTCATCCCCTGGTGAAGTCTGTTACCTGCAGAGATCCTTGCCAGGGGATATGTGACGTCAGCCCCAGGTCCCCAGGTCCCCATGGAGTCAGGGAGGTCCCGGCTGATGCCCACCTGGAGCCGGGCCCCCTGGCCTGTCCAGCTGCCTGCCTGGCTCTGGTCAGCTTCAGGCTCAGGGTCCTCGTCAGGGCCTGAGCAGGACAGCATTTGGGGTGGGTGGGCCCCAGTGTGGAGTTCGCCCCTGGTATTTTCTTGGTCCCCTGGGTCTTTGCCCTGCGGGAGCCCGTCCTTCTGCAGCCCAGTCTTCCCTGGGGCTTCCTCCAGAGGAGAGGCCTTGCTGAGGGCGAGGGCCCGACGTCCCCCCTGCTCCTGCCTTTTAGCCACTTTAATGAACAAGCTGAGGGTTAAGTCTTCCACCGCGTTTGTTTTTCCCAGAAAACAAAGACCCGAAAGTGCCCACAAACAAACATTTGTTATTTCTGTGATTTTTGCTTTTCCTTGGAAAATCAATCTGCTTTTTCCATCAACTGAGCCTGAGCTTTGATGGCCCCGCCGCCCCCCCCGCCCTCTCTCCCCGTCTCTGGGCGCCCCGGCCCTCCTGTGCCGAGCCGCAGCTTGTTCTGGAATGGGGTGCGCATGTGGCCAGAGAAGGGAAAACAGAAAACAAAACGAAGTCAGAGAGAGTCATGAAACGGACGGACGGATGGACGGCTGGCTCCTCTTAGTGAGAATGACCCACAGAACTCCGTGTCCTGTGGCTAGGTCTTGTTTATCAGGGACCTCCCGCCAAGCTGTCCCTGGGTGATTAAGAGTCAGATGATTATTTTTCCTAGTAGGTGCTCGGGGCAGGTTGACTGTTATTAATGTGTAAGTTTTTAACGTGACGCTTGACTCCAGCCGTGGCTCTGGGCTTTCTCCTGGGCCGCATGTCTGTCCTGGAGGCCAGCGCGTTACGAGCTCAGCCTCAGCTCCCACACCTTGAAGGGAGGAGGGTGGACAGAACGTCTGGTCCCCTCCAGCTCCCAAGAACCCTTGAGTTAATTGCTGAACTGTAATGTGGCAGCAGCCATTTTTCATCTTAAACAATAGCGCTGAGTTTTTTTTTAAGTGAAGAGGTTACCTTGATGGCGAGGTACTTCACAGTCTCTGAACAGTTACTGCGACGTAGCACAGAAAGCAGGAAGACACCTGGGGTAGTTAGAGGGCCTTTAACCTCTTAACCCCTAACCCTAACCTCATTCGTGGAAGCACTTGGCCTAGGGGGTTCCTGAAACCCATCTGACATCACGTCTCGGGGCACAAGAGCTTAGACCAGGAGTGAGCACAGAGACATGCTCCCTTGACATGACTGTGAACAGCCACCGAGGCCCACGGCCCGAGTGTCCTGGGTCAGAGCTCCCACGGAGCCCCTCAGCAGAGAGCAGTGATTTATGGGGTATGGACTGTTCATCTCCAAGAGGGGTTCGGATCTGAGGAGAGATAGCTGAAAACAGTGTTTCGTTACCATCACCCCCAAACTGGTGCTTTTTGATGCCTCACGTAGTCAATTTACGTTTTCTAGGAGAGTTACTCAGACGTCGTTGGGGTGACTTTTTTGATGCAATGCTTAGGTTTGACCTGCCGTGAGTTTTGCCCACACGCTGTGCAAGGGTCCCACAGAGCGATTTCCCTAGCCCTGCACGTGCATTTAGGGAGAAAATTAAGACTAATGTGCTTAGAGGTCGAACATCCCTAATCTGGAAATCCAAGATCCAAAATGCCCTAAAATCTGAAATATTTTTAGAGCGGACATGACACTGTAGGTGGGAAGCCCCCCACCTAGCTTCATGACGGTCAAGGTCAAACATTGTGTCTGACACTGCATCACATGACCTTTAGGTTTTGTGGGTAAGGCATAGGAAACAAATTGCTTTTTGTTTAGACATGGGTCCCCTCCCCAAGACACCTCATGAATATGTGAATATTCCAAAATCAGGGCTGGGGGGGGGGACCCTAACTCTGAAGCACGTCTGGTCCCGAGCATTGGAATCAAGGATGCTCAGCTTGTCTAGGTGTGTTCATACTGGACCGAGGTTCCTCTGGGCCAGGACATTTTACTGCAGACGGAGCCCTCTGTGAGGAGGACATGGGGTAAGTCGGCCCAGCCAGCCTTGATTGTTCCTTAGGTTGTGCCTTTGCCAAGTGCCTCCTGTGCCTTAGGGCACTGGGACCTTCCACAGC